ATTTTTATATATTTAATTTAAATCTTCATATTTAACGTAAAAAACGAAAGAAAAATTTATTCTAATTTGCTAACCGTGCAACGCACGGGTAAAACACTAGTCCATATAAAGGAAACACAAATCGGGCACCACGCAATAAACATTTCAATAGAGGGAGAACAATACAGATTTCATTGAGACCAATAATCAAACAGCTAGCCCACAACTAATGAACAAACAACATTCATCTTCAAACCAACAGCATCACCAGCCGACGATTACAATCGAATCCTAACAAACTTTAAAAAAAAAAAAAAAACCTAAAACAGCAAAAGGGGCAACTTTCTTATATGAATCATATTGATAACAAAAAAGGGCTTGCTTTTCCGCAACTGAATTGAGTCCGATTTGGAGCAGCAAAAAATGGTGTATATGGGGTGAAGATTATATGGCAGATCGCTCAAAGTGTTCTTCCGATTCGATCCGTCCAAATATTTCTGCAAACCGATCAGTGGCTGGAAAATGTCAAAGGTATTGGGGACTGGACAGGTTTGCTCTTCTTCGCAAATTCCAAGAATTTTTTCCTTAAATATATGTAAAAAAAAAAACCTAGACAAAAATAAAACTTTTTAAAACCTTGTGGACAAATTTATATGCCCCGGATTTAGGAAATCCGAATGGGGGGAAAACTCGGATTTCGGAAATCCGACCCCAACTAAACTCGGATTATTAAAATCCGACTTTGTATTACGTAAATCTGAAATTAAGTTAATGACAAAAATTAGTGTAATTAATCTAAATCCGGATTTTATAAATCCGATTTTATGAATAAAATATTAATTTCCGGATACTATAAAAAAAATGTGTTGAAAAATTAAATTCGGGCAGAACTCGGATTACCGAAATCCGAATCTGCTCTGTTTTCTGAAAAATGGTGACTCCCAGTTGGCCACGGACTCGGATTTCCGAAATCCGAATCCTTTAGAAAAAGTCTGGGTTCGGATTTCGCAAATCCGAGTCTTTGTCAGAACTGAAAAAAAAAATTGGACTGATTTTCACCAGTCCTAAACATGTTTACAGCACCAACAACAATGAAACATTGGAAAATAGGAATTTAATAACAACAAAACAATAAACGGCATTCAATTAACAACAAAATAAATCAAGTTTCATAAAAAGTTCAATACAAAAACTACAATAAATGTCCAAAATAATGAAATGTCTCATTTTTTCCCTTTTCCTTTATTGTGCGCATCCGGAGTGTATTTGTTTGGGCCCTGTCGGATCCTGTCTCCCCTCTTAAGATATGTGAGTATTGAACTTTGGTGTGGTTGCGACGTCCACCAAACCGAGCCTCGATTTGGGGTTGAGATTGGGACTCCCCCATGGTGATAAATTTGACTCCCGGTTGTGGTTGCGACTGTCCACCAAACTGAGTCTCAGGTCCACCAATGTCAAACTGAGTCTCGGGTCCACCAATGTCAAACTGAGTCTCGGGTCCACCAGCTTCTTCAAAATGAGTCTCGACCTGGATGCGCGAGCCTCGAGAGGAATGTGCTTGATCCTCATTTTGTTGACCCTCAGTTTGTTGTTGCGATGTCCGAGGGGGGATTGTGACCTTTCTCTTTCTTCCTCCTCCAATCTTATCTCTTGACCACGGTTTCGCTTTTTTACCCGGCGGAGGTTGTGAGGGAAAAAATGGATCTTCATCAACCAGGATTTAGGTATCATCCACCTCCATCTCATCATTTGCGCCCAAGGTTAAAGCAGCATGTGTTTGATTGATGATATCGTCCAAATGCTTGTCAAGTTCTTCGTCTAGGAGATTATCATCTTCTCGTTTTCTCTAAACCTCTCGGTACTCACGCGAATGTTGTTCAATACTTCACCCTGAAAAGAAATTGGGACGTTAATTAAGAGAGTAAAGTTCTAAAAAAAAATGAAAAAAAAATGGAAACATAAGAAATAATAAAAGAAATCTACAATTAACTCACATATAATTTCACGCGGCTCGAAGAAGTCTCGTATCCTTGAGGTTCATAATTACCGGGATTGGATATCAATCTGACAGTGTTCACCATAAACCATTCATAGTACCCCTCATATACGGAACCAGGATCTCCTTCCTCCAAATCTCGTAGCACGAACTCTTCTTTCATATTCCAATGACGGCGTACTGCGGAATGGTGATCCTCCCATTTATTGCTAGGATACCCAGACATACTGTGGGCGTGATCGAGAAGAAATGCTGCGTTATCTTTAATCATGGGGCGCTTGGGAACATCCTGTATGTATCCAAATTGTCTTACGACTCTGCCCGACTCGTGGGATTCCCTAATAGCCCAACAGAACATCCAACACCTAGTCGTCCAAATGGCTTGGCCTTGTGTACAGAAATCAGGGAGTCTATGGAGGACATGTGCATATGGTTGCCACCGAAACTGCACGAAAAAAATTTCATTAGATGGTACAACCAAAACCAAAAGAAAGGGGTAATTGATCTCAAAGTAAATATAAATACCAAATTACAAGTACTTACATCTTCAACACGCAGACTTGTTAATTGATCTCTAAACGGTGGAGTGCTGCTCCTTGGGGCGTCGCCGTACGTGTACCTACATTCCCACCTTAATAAACAAAGGGGTACATTTGAATTAGTGAAATAAATGAATAAGAAACAAATAGAATTAAACGTTGAGTTATTTTGAACTGAAAATACGTACCGCTGAGCTAATGGAGCGGTCTCATCAAGCAAATAATCTACTCCTTTTCTTTGGGCGCGATCCTCTCGATCCGCTCATACGCCCATACCTAGTAAATTGCAATAATAATGTAGAAACTTCAAATTATAACGTCGAAAGCGCAAAATAATTAAAGCACAATATGAAAACTAATACGTACTGTAGCAAATATAGACACCCGGTGGCGTCGTGCATGGTATCTTGTGATGCCTCGCATAGGCCGAGTACAACCCGGCCAGAAGTGCCGATCCCCAATCGTATCGACTACACCGATCCAAATCCTCAACTGGGCCAAGAACGTAATTGACGGTGTTCTGCGTCTTGTTCGAAACATGAAACCGCTAATAAAATGCAGTATAAGTGTCCTGGCCCTTTGCTCGAATCGATGGACAGTGGAATTTGAAGGTAGTGCACGCCCATCTCATCTTCGAAAATACCAACATTGACACATTGGCCATTTACAATCGCCGGCCGGAATCCCAAATAAGCCTCACATCGATCCCTCCATTCATCTGCAGTCCGGCTAAGCTGCCGTACCGTACACTGGGTCACCATCCACCCGAATACCAAACAGGACCTCGACGTCCTGTAGCGTCACCGTCGCCTCTCCGAAATTAAAATGGAAAGTGTGGGTTTCTGGCCTCCACCGTTCCACCAACGCGGTAATGAGGCCTAGATCAACTCTTTTGTACCCTACCTTCATGATCCCCTCAAAACCGGCTCTCCTAATGACTTCCTTAACCTCCGGGGCCGTATTTTTATATAACGCCCAAAAATCGCTGTCGTACCTACGGCCCTTGAGGCGGAATGTCTTAATGTCCGGTATCCTGTTCTCATAGAGAAAATCCAACTCAGTTCTCGAATGAGAACTGCCTGAAATTTTTTTTCTTTTATAGCACGTTAAACTCGGATTTACGAAATCCGAGTCCGTAAGTAACTCGGATTTTCGAAATCCGAACTGTGTTAGATTCGGATTTCATAAATCCGAGTTTAGTCAATTCAGGATTATTTTATTAATTTGTTGGTCCTCCAATTTAAGGCACATGCCTACTTCCACCAACCAAAATTAAAGGCATCCGGATTTCTAAAATCCGAATTCGTCAAACCGGATTACGGACTTCCGGTTTTGGGTTCAAAATTTCGCGCCGCGATTTATTAATTTTAACTAAACTCGGATTCTACAAATCCGAGCTTTATTGTTCACTAAAGAACTAAAAAACCTATTATTCAACAAAATTTATGAAATTATTATTTTATTATTAAGTATGGATTCGGATTTACAAAATCCGAATCTCTAATATTAATCAACACTCGGATTTCAGAAATCCGAGCAATATATTTCTGTCCACAGATATTCTGAAAAATTTAATTTTGTCCACGTTTATTTTATTTAATTTTTTTTGGGAAAAAGCCCCTAATTCCAAGTGTATTTTCACCCTTTAACACAAATTTTCACAATTTTACTGTTCATTCATATGTGTATAGTAACTTTCAAAATAGTGGTTACATTTTTAAACAAAATATATATATATATATATATATATATGAATGTAATGTAACCACTATTTATAGATGTTTTTGTATTGTTTTTTAATCTATGGTGATATATATATATATATATATATATATATATGAATGTAATGTAACCACTATTTATAGATGTTTTTGTATTGTTTTTTAATCTATGGTGATAAGTTGAAATTAGAAATTGATATATGATTAAAATCTAACTCTAACCCCTTAACCTTTGTAAATTGGAATATTCCATCTTCAAGAAACCTTGATAGTATATTGATAGTTTATTAATTAATCGATATTAATAAAATTTGTAAATCCCACCATTAATTTTTCATTTGGTAAAGTTTATGTATTATACAATGCTAGTATTCTGTTAGTTAACTAAAACGAATACTCCTCTCTTGAGTAAAGTCCATGGTTTGTCATTTTAAATACTCCAACTGTTCCATTTTTTATCTTCTTTTTTTTTTTTTGGTTCATTCATTCATTTCCGTAAGAGTAAAATTGCGCACAAAAATAAATTTATGCGTCAAATCTTAACCTCCACCAATTTCTATATTATTATGCCTCTCATTAAGGTTTTCTTAAAAAAATAAAAAAATACAACGGAAATAGATGAAATGACAAAAAAGATTATAGTAATTTTTTGAGTAAATGGTAACCATACAAAAATTCGAATGAATTATTATTTATTTTTTCCAAAAAAAAAAAGGAAAAACTAAAATGGAGAAATAAATATGTAGAGACTAGAAGCTATAGAATCTTTTTCTCTCACCTACTTCCTCAAACCACCTTCTATATTTCTACTTTCTTCTTCCTTCAGCACCGAACTCTTTGAACTCTCTGAATTCTTCGGTTGGATCGGAAAATGGCGAGTGGAGATGAATTCAAAGTTCCCAGAATCAAACTGGGTTCCCAAGGGCTCCAAGTTTCAGCTCAAGGCCTGGGATGCATGGGTATGTCAGCTTTCTACGGCCCGCCCAAACCCGAACCCGAAATGATCGAGCTCATCCATTACGCCATTGACAGAGGGATCACCCATCTTGACACCGCCGAGATGTACGGACCTTACACCAACGAGATTCTTCTCGGAAAGGTATTATAAAGACTGATGAAATTGAATTTGCCCAACGAAACTTTTACTTTTTTAACTTTCTACCGACTTCATCGCCTTTGCGATTTGATGTAGTCTATTTCGAGAAAGGGTCCTGTTTGAATGTTGCATTGATCCCTGAACTTTAAGTGTTTAGATCCCCAGTTTTATTCTTGGTCATAGTGTAGCTTTATTTTGTCTTTGTTGATTGCTCATATAGAAACAAGTTTTAGTAAATGGAGTTATTGGGATTCATAAATTGTAGTGTTTCAAGTGTGGTGGTCATACCTGTAGTTGTTGTCGTAATTAAGATACTAACATCCCTTTAATGCCATTTCTATACAATTGTAGGAAATCAAAATTGGGTCAAAGTACAATGTTTTGTAATATTTTTGCAATAGATAGGCATAGTTAATGTTGTTATTTATTGCATTATGAACAAGGATGTTACAATCATATAGTGATCGATATCAGATATGTGGATAATTTTATTTGCCGGAGCACTTTCAGCATTTCGTTGTATAATGGAATAATGTGATGTGCTAAGTAGGGCGATTCGTTTCTTGATTCTAGCTCAAGCATACATGTATGTTTAATCACGAGGGATTATGAACAGGCTTTGCAGGGAGGGCTAAGAGAAAAAGTGGAAGTTGCAACAAAGTTTGGGGTCAGACTTGTTGATGGCAAGCGAGAGGTTTGTGGCGATCCAGAGTATGTGCGGGCTGCATGTGAAGGCAGCTTGAAGCGGCTAGGGGTGGACTGTATTGATCTTTACTATCAACATCGTATTGACACGCGCTTGCCTATTGAAGTCACAGTAAGGCTCTAGATATGATGAGTGTTTTTCGCTGTTGTTGCTTATACTTGAAAGTACAATGTGCTTTTTGTCCGTAATTGTTTCACCAACATTTGAGGGCAAACTTTATTTGACATCTGAAGTGATACTGATGTTTATGTTTTTGTTTGTCGGGATAGCAATCCTATCATGTAGTTTAAGTTTAGCTTAGACACAAGGATGCTTGTGGACTTGTCTTCTCTTCTGTGCTTGTAAGCAAAATTCTTCAGATTTAAATGATGTTTGAGCTTAAAATAGACTTGAAAGTAAGCAATTTAAATCTGTAAAGGTTATTATTTCAATAAGGGAAATTATATTTTCTAAATGTAAATGGAAAGATGCTGCTATTTGATTGTGTGGTAGTTTAAAGTTTGAACTTTAAACTGAACTTGTGAGGTTGAAGAGAAGGTTTGTTACAAAGTAGCAATAAAGAAGATTGGCTTCTGTTTGTTGCGCTTTTCTCATATGAATACTCATAAAATGTGTGCTGATGGAAGCTTTCTTAAAACTCATTTGAACTATTAATGTTTTCTTTCAGTTAATCTTCTTGGGTTAAGTTATTCACTTTAGCATGCTTTTTCTTATTCTTGGAATGCTCTTTCCCCAGATAGGAGAACTTAAAAAGCTGGTCGAAGAGGGTAAAATAAAGTATATAGGTTTGTCCGAGGCCTCGGCTTCAACAATTAGAAGAGCACATGCTGTTCATCCAGTAACAGCAGTACAGTTGGAGTGGTCCTTGTGGTCGAGAGATGTGGAGGAAGAAATCATTCCCACTTGCAGGTATGGTTTTGTTCTGCTGTTCGTCTATGGTTTTGCCAAAAAGAAGGAGAAAGAGTTCTCAATATATGTTTTTTGTCCATCTTCAGAGAACTTGGAATAGGCATTGTTGCTTACAGTCCACTCGGACGAGGGTTCTTTTCAACTGGTCCGAAATTACTTGAGAATTTAGCTGAGGGTGACTTCCGAAAGGTTTGTACATAGTTACTTTGATATTGATCTTCATAGCAAAGGGATTGTTTATCGAGTTATTACAGGTTATATCATAGATCTACTTGCTTCCCTTCACAACCTGGTTGATGCACCTGAATTCTAGTTTTCAAGGTCTGGCTTTTTGCGTTAGGTTTTTTGCAAAATGATAAGGCTGGATCTAAGACCCGGATCCTCAACTCCAGTGAAAGGGGAATCTACTTGGGTAGTGTGTCAGGTGTTTTGAACTTGCCCATTAAGTCCACATGGAATTTGATGTTTGATTTATGTACAACTCTCTGATTACCGTAGTCACGTACCCAAAAGTCCTTCACTGTTTTTCTTACTGAAGCTATTGAAATCTATTAAACTCTGCCATGCAAAATTCAGCTTATTTCGGAACAATTTTTGGGAAATGCCTTATTTGGAAGCCTCACTCGAGCATACTTTTCCCTCACGAAACGCATTTACTACTACCGCCATTAAGAATGAAGTCTTTTACTCAGATCTTTGTGTTAAATTTGATTATGTATCGGACTGATCATTTAAAGTTTTCCATACTTGCTTTTTGTCAGATGAAACTTGCAGCTGTTCTATCACTAAAACTTCTGTATCTTTCAGTATTTGCCTCGGCTTCAATCAGAAAATATGGAGCATAACAAGAAGTTGTTTGACCGCGTGAATGCCATGGCTGCAAAAAAGGGATGTACCCCATCGCAGCTAGCGCTTGCCTGGGTTCACCATCAAGGAAGTGATGTTTGTCCGATACCTGGTACTACCAAGATTGAGAACCTCAAGCAAAATATCGGAGCTTTGTCCGTAAAACTTTCAGCGGAAGACATGGCTGAACTGGAATCCATTGCTTCAGCTGATGCAGTCAAAGGTGATAGATACGGCCCTGGCGCTAGTACCTGGCAAACTTCCGATACTCCTCTTTTGTCAACATGGAAAGGTACATGAATGTAGGGTTTCTCCAGTCGTGGTTTTTAGCTATCACCTGTGCATCATGTGCTGGAGCTCTTTGTGTTTAAAGTATGCAGAATAAAAATGTGGTACCTTTTCGTTCATTGAAATGATGATAGAGATAACAGATATTGCTGTAAAACAGCTGAATAAAGAGTGGATTGGTTGATATTGTGGTTGTATAAAAAGCATTTTTGTTAAGCAAATTCAAACACACAAGGACAGAACCTCGGATGTTGTCATTCGTCAAGCTACCTTCTATTGGAAAAACTGGTTCATTGAACTCATGAGTCATGACCTCCGTTTTTTTATTTATTTTTTTTCTGAGTTTTAATTTAGATTTTATGTCTATTACTAGTTTATATCTGAGTTTTGAGTTTCGCAAAGTCGTGGAGTAAAAGATCCCTTCAATGTTGAACCTTTTCGCGAAATCATTGTGTTAAAGAACCATACTATGCTGTACCATTTTTAACCATACTATGTGCGAGGTTAACTAGACATAATCATAGTTACGCCAGCAAATCACTTGCTAGACTCGTTGGACTTTAAATCTAACTAGACATAATCTTGCTTGCGCGTATGGTTTTCAAATTTTATACCCGGAAGAAAAAAAAAATTAGTGAACCCAGAAAATATTACTCCTCCAGTTCTTATTATAAGACATTTTGATTTTGTCTTAGGTTTCATTTAGGATGTCTTTTTAATTGGAAAAAAAAATTTAAAAAATATTTCATAATAATTAGGAGAACACAACAAATGTAAAAATATATTTTTAAAATTTTTTTTCCAAATAAAAAGACAACTTAGGTTAAACTTAGGACGAAATCAAAATGTCTTATAATAAAGACCGGAAGTAGTACACATGCATTATACCAGTCGTAATTAAGCATTGTCGCTGTAGTTTGTTATTGTTAAACTTAATTAAAAACACAACACACATTATATTACTGATGATGAATTCCTACTGTGAAAAGCTCAAGACTTGGTCTTTGATCATATCACATTATCACCGTGACATCATTAACAGTAGTAACACCAATCATATTAATTAATTATAACATCTCAATCTTCCTATTGCACCCATCTTTTTTTGCAAACAATAGATCTCCTGTCCTTATTAATTAACAAATCGCGAGCATATTTCAAATTTTGCTATTTCTTGAGATTCCACAGCATGAATAAATGAATTTTACGTTTTTTTGTTACACTCTTGTTGTACTTCGAACTGAAGTTTAACGATGGTGGAGCTGACCAGATTTCAATAGTGAAGAAAATGGCGACCAAAGCGAAGACATTGAATCTGGGCTTTCACTGGGTTTAGAAGTATCCGTTCAAGAACTTGGTTAATTGCTCGGGAATGGTGCGGAACCATGCATGGACCTCCAAAGATTGAGGATGACAGGATCAAACTCATACATCATGCTATCAATCAGGCCATTTACTTATTTCCCCACACAAGGGATTTCTTTGGCAGAGAGACATTTATTTTTAATACGTCCGAAACTATTGTTCAGATTGATTTTCTTTTTTAGTAATATAAATTAAATTAAAAGTAAAAAAATTTAAACTAAACAATACTTTTAAGATAAAAACAGAACAAATTTTGGAACGAGAAAATGATTAGGGAAGGGAGAAGTCCTCAATTTGTGAGGGAAGCCTGCGAGGATTCCCATGGAAAATCAAGGCCCGTCTTCTTTTTGTTACATTTTCTTTCTTTTGATTTTTTTTTTTTTTTTTGGTCATAATATCCGCTCAAATCCTCTACCTCGTTTTGCTTGATGCGTTTTGTTAACTTTTGCTATCATTCCCATTTGGTTACATTTTTCTTTTCTTTTTATATACACAAGTTTTTCGTTATATAATGAGTTAATTATACTTGCACCTCTTAGAAAATCCATCGTATTTGAGTTTTGTATGATTTGGAAAAAGAAAATTAAGATACTTTTTTGATATATTTTAAAAAAAATTATTTGTTTTATTGAATTAAAATAATACAACAAAACGATTATTTTATGGGATTTGGAGTATATATTTGCAAATTTTACGAGCACAAGAAATTATATCTTTTCTGCCAAGTTCAGAAATGCAACTATATATAGAACGGAAGAAATATGTATACGCAAATCTCATGAATATGACCATCAAATTGCATTCAAGATACGTCGTTCAGTCCCAAAATGCATAATTGCGTACCTTGTTTGTACTTTGTAGTACTATTCTATTAATATAATAAACACCACAATTAAAAATATGAATTTTTGTGGTTTAGCCTAACGCTTACCCTTTTTGTTTTTTAGGTAATGCAGACTGGGTAAAGGAATTGGTTGAAGAGGGACTTAGAGATTCTGAGGAAATATATAGTTAATCCCACATGTATGCCCGCGAGTCTTTCAAATAAATTAAAATGCTCCAAACCTAAAATGTATGTCTATGTATTTTAGTAATATTGATTTTCATTAAATTTTAGGATAGCAGGCGTTTATGTCGTCGTCACTATGGGGAAAAAAAAAAAACAAAAACAGTGTGAAATGAAATGGATATTAAGCTCGAGTTCTTATGCCGTGCACCATGGTTCACTATATATGGTGCACTGGTTTAATTAATTGAAACTATTTAAGGAATAAATCTATAATTTATCTATAACCCCCATTATAACAAAAATTATGTTTCTCCTAAAATTTCAAGTGTCATTCTTTGCTTAAAATTCTCCCACCCTAATCTCCAAGAAAAAACAAACCACAAAAAGGAAAATCTTATCTTTTTCAAAAAAAAAAAACGAGAATTATTATCCCCTTCTACAATCCATGTTTCCCAAATATTCTAATTATTATAAACCTTAAAGTTGCTTCATCCATATTTTCATTAAAACTTAGGGTACCGTTTCATCCAATTAAAATAAAATTAAAAATAAAGAAAAGTAAACCTCCGAAAATAACTTACTTGTCAAACTCACTCTAATTATAATCCACGTTTCCCAAATATTCTAATTATTATAAACTTTAAAAGTTGCTCTATCCATATTTTCATAAAATTTCTGATACCGTTTCATCCAATTAAAATAAAATTAAAAAAAAAAAGAAAAGAAAACCTATGAAAATGACCTCCTTGTCGAGATTCTTTTTCCTAATCTTTGTTCATGCTTAAAGTGAAAAAAATTCTACAACAATAATTTGTCTCCAAAAAAAAATTTTTTTTTTTAAAAGCCAGGATTGGAAATTTAATATTTAACAAAAACAATGCACTATTAGGCATAATTATATTCGTATAATTTTAGAAACATATAAAAATGAATATGCATATTTTTGCATTATTTATAACTTTATGATTCATTTACGTCTTAAAAAACCATTAACATTTGTATAACTCAAAACAATTCAGCGACTAAAGCCCAAACTCGTGCGAATGCACGGGTCCAAAACCTAATTATTAATTAAAATATTACTAGTTTTAAATTAGTCAATCCTCTTTTCATATTTAATATCATATATCATATATTCAAACCAATTACGTGATTACAAAAAAATTCAAAAATGAAGAAATATTTATTTGTCAATATACTTCTATTCATACAAATACAAAAGATTCATGATCATACTATGTAAAATTTATGAATGATAAACTTATTTTTCATATCGAATATATCAAAAATTCATACCTTTTAATTAAAAAATTGTACACATAATTACAAATTAAACGATGTAATATTTTTAATCTTCTATTCATACATACAAGTATGACTATTCATGAAGATTATGCTAAATAATCAAACAAATTATAGAAATTTTAAAAAATTAATCATATGTACAATAAATGTTCATACTCTTTTCTTGAAATATTCATGAATAATAATGATACTTTTCATATCATATCATGTGTATCCAAATTTCACAATTTTTTTTAGAGAATTGAAAAACTAATGCAAATAAGCAGTTTATATTCATACCCATATAAAATAATGTACATGAGAATTATATAAATTTTCATACAAAAAAATAAAAATATTAATAAATATTTAGAAATCCTTATATTCGTAGTTCATACTCATTCTATGAAAAATCCATGAATTATAATAATAATTTTCATGAAATATATATATATATATATCAAAATTTCATAATTTTTTATCAAATTTAAATTGTTCCCAATTTTCAAACTACGTCAGTAATTATGAATAGAGGAAATAGTTACAAAATTATTAGAATATTGTTTCTGTTATAATTGAAAGCATGATATAAGAAATTAAATGATGAAAGAGAGAACTGATTTAATTAATGTTTTTAAAATTTTTCATTCCATAATTAGATTGTATTAATTAGCCAAGTGAAACATATATGGTGAAGCTTGTTCACCATTTAAATCTATTGTACTTAATTAAAACAGCATATAAGAAGGACACATGTCAGCTCCACGTTAAAAATTTTCCCTCCAAAGTCCTTTTTCAATACAAAATAAAAATTGACACGTGGCAATCTAGATTTGTAGAAAAAAAAGGATGGCTTAAGGAGTCCAAAAACTACGATAAATGAATGCAAAAAAGAATCACTTCAAATCAGATAAATGCGTCCCTAAATTCAGAAAAAAAAAATCCCTTCAAATCAGTCACTTCAAACTTGACAACACTTCTCCTTCAATCCCAAATTTCAATTTCAAATCCAGTGAGAACAGATTAGCGTGTGCATTTAATTACATTACATCTCTTTTAATTACAAAGATAATCACGAGGAGAACAGAATCCCCGAATTCCGCAATCTTTCTTCTTTTTTTTTTTTTGAAAATATTTCTTTTTATCTTCTTCAGTCTAAACCTTAGCTGTCGTGCCTGTTTCAATTCCGTGTTCGAACGCCAAATTTATTTGGTGTTATTTTTCAGATCTGGCCGATTCTAAATTTGGTGAGATCTCAAAGTTTGTCCGTCCAATTCAAGATTTGATGAGCTTGGTAATGACCGCCCAGTTCCAAATCGAATATGTCAAAGGCTCTCCTCCGTTTTGCTCTCTTCTCCGATCTGATCTCCACCCCTTTTGTTATGCATCATAAACAGACATGGTTCAAAGGCTCCGGCGAAGGTTTAAAGGTTTGAAACCGTTTCTAAAAGTTTGATTTTGTAGATTTATTTTTTGGAACAAATTAATTTTGAAATCCCACGAAGCAAAGTGCAAGCCATGCATCGATGCACCCATAAATTATGATATTTTGATGCAATTCTCAGTTGTACTTTTCTCTCTTTCACCGGTCGTTAGACTGCCCTAGCGCTATGCCTATGCTGAAAATGAAAGGGAAGAAGAAGAAGAAGAAGTCTATGGGTAAGCAGCCTTTGGACATCGACAATATGAAGCAGAATCAGGAGGGAACCTCGCAGGAGGTGAAAAATCCGGAGCAAACCAAACAACGAGGGAGATATGGATATGGTCGAGTCCCAGTTGATTTGGATACTATAAGTCCATCTTCATATTTGGGACAAATTTAACATATGGTTCCATTGCCTTTGTGTATCTTCTGCTGATTTTTATTTTTTTTAATTAATTTGTTTTTGGTTGCTTAAATTGAAGGTGAGAAGGTGTTGGCTTGAACTCTTGGATGAGGTAATATATATCTTTTAGTACAAGGAAAGGCTCGATGGTAGTCATTGTTATTTAGTACAAT